TTAAAAGTGCTTATGCAATTCATTTATTTGGTATTTGTAAAACTGGAGAAAAAAATCAACAAATAAATTTTATAATTGCTGAAGATGAATTTCCAAAAGGTGTAGGAAAAGGAGCAAATACAACATTAAATATGGTTTATCAAGCAATTAAAAAATTTATTGAAAATGATCCTGAAGCAAAAAATTTACAAATAACCTGTGATAATTGTGGTGCACAAAATAAAAATAATTTATCATTATTTTTTTGGAGTTGGTTATGTATGATGGGTTATTTTGATAATATTACTATTAATTTTATGATACCAGGTCATACAAAGTTTATTTGTGATTCATTTTTTAGAAAAATCAAAAAAACTTTTAGAGATAATAATATTAATACTATAGATGATGTTGAAAATATTATAAATAAATCTGCAAGTGCTAATATAAGACTTAAATATAATAATGGAATTGGATGGAATTGGTATGATTTTCAAGGCTTTTTTTCACAAAATTTTATAAATTGCCCTCATATAAAAGATTACTATCACTTTCGTTTTAGTAAGTTACCTCAAGATTTAGGAAAAGTTTATTGTTCAAAAAAATCTGGTGGTGATGAAATTTCATTTAATCTTTTAAATAATAAGAATTTTAATATACATGAGCAATTAAATATTTTAGAAGTGGCAATAATGTCAAGTGAAAGAAGAAAATATTTGTATAAAAAGATTAGACAATATGTAGATAATCCATACAAAGATATTTATTGTTTTGAATCTTAATATTTATTATTATTATTATATTATTTATTATTATTTATTTTTATTTTTATTTTTATTTTTACTTTTTACTTTTTTTACTTTACTTTACTTTTATTTTATTATTTTATTTTATTTTTTATATTCTTTTTTAATAAATTTTTATTTATAAATTATTTAATTTATTTTAACTAGATGAAAAAATTTTTTTTGAAGAGTATGAATACTTCCCAAACCCCCATTAATAAAAAGTTTATATATATAAGATTTAAATTTTTTAAAAAATTAAAAAATTTGAAACTTTATAAACTTTATTAAATTTAATTTTAATATATGTCGATCATTTCTAAAATTAATGTCGATCATTTCTAAAATCTAATTTTAGATTTTATGATCGATGTTACACAGAATTTTAAGCATTTTTGCTGGCCTAATTACTCGCTTTATTAATAAGCTAATAACTTCTAAAAATTTAACCAAATAAAGTTCATTTAGTATACTATAATATGAATCAAAAATCTCATTTTTTATTAAAAGGTCCCCGGAACCCATTTTTAATAGCAAAGCTCCCATATAACACCTTATCATCAGCAATTTAACATTTCTCAAAGTAACAAGTTTCGATATTCTCCATATCATTACATATAATATCATGGATTAGGTTGTGATAAATGGAGTATAACTCCTTATCGACTAGAAAGAAGAGAAGCTTCTTCTCCTGAAACAACCAATTCTTCGCTAAGTAAAGATAAGTGTAATTTATTATAAAAATTTAGCCAATATATATATTTTTTATCAATTTATTATTAACTTTACTATGAAAAAGCATATTTACATGGAAGAATCGATGAGTTAAGCAGGTAATACAATAATGCAAATGAAAAATTAAGAGATTTAAAGACGGAATTCAGCAAAGTTACTGCAGATAATGAAGCATTTATTCGTGAAAATGAAAGTTTTTGAGATGAACTCAAATGAAGCTGATGAAAATATAGAAATAAAAAAACAGACCAAAGTTGTCAAGGAAAGCGAATTCGATACAGTAGTAAAGATGAAAGCAGTGAAGATAGGTCTAATAATATTGACATGGTCAGAGTTCATTTAAAATATCTTTATAAATATTAATAGAATAACTTTAACCTACCTTTAATCTAATATAACTAATATCAATTAAATTAACTTAAATCAGCTTTTATTTTTTTATAATTTAGAATAAAATAAGAATGATTTTAACGATATCACCGACTGATTTTAAAATGAGATATGATCTTAAGTTCAGCAGTGAAGAAATACTAAAATATTGTGACAAGTAATACTGCATTTCATCAAGCCTTAAAAGATTCAAAATGATATACAAACAAATTAAAAAGTGACTTAACTCGCTTTATAAGCATTAACAAGTTCATTTATTATATAAACAATGTAGTACTTTAGATTGTAATAATCAGCAATTACATAAAAACAATTGCATCAATAAAGTAAATATAATCGAAATTATTATTTTTTTAAAAAAGGAACTTTAATTTACATTCAATATTTTAATATAGAAAAAGGTCTAAAGGCTTAAAAATGCTAATTTGTTTTTCGATTCGAGTGATGAGCGAGTTTCAAAATATGACAAGAAAGAATTATTGTTGATCTTAAAAGACAATCGTTATTATTTCTTCAATTCAGAAGAGATGGCAATACAAATAATTAACATTTATAATCTGAGCTGGAGATTAGACAAGGTTCAATACTTTTTTAGAAATCTATTTATAATTTTTGTTAAAATTTTAACTAATTTCAATTGAAGACTTTGTTGTAAAAATCGACCATCATGTGTTCTCGCTTTAAACAACACAATTAACGAGAACTTGAAATTATAGTGATAGATTTATGATGCATATTCAGCACCTTCAAAATACTCATAAATAGATGTATATAAAACAAAACATTTCAGCTGATACTGACTTTTCAGCACCAACAACTGAAGTTGAAGGTCAAGATGATGATATCAGAGAAGAATAAATTCAACAAATTATAATTTATAGTGAATTATCTTCTATTGTTTATCTATATTTGTATTTATTATATTTTATAATTATATTTTATTTTATATTTAAATTAATAAATCAATTATTATTAATTCGATTAAATTACATTATTATAAAATTAATAAATTGTCTAAAATGCAAAAATAGATATTAATAAGATCATTTAAATATTGGAAATTTTATTTTACCAATTTTTTGATTACTTATAGCCAAAATATTACCAATTTTTTATTAACTAATTCGAATTTTATTTGTTTATTAGTTAAATAAATTTAATTACTGATCTGGATATGATCAGCAGTAATTTGTTATACTATTTTAAGGCAAATTATTGCAGATCAATTAAGAAACGTTACAATATTGCACAAAGTTCTTAAATAGTAAATAACTCAAATTCATTTATTTTACGTTAAAAATCATATGATAAAATGCAAAAAAGGTATAATTTTACAAATATCATTTATAAATAAAAATTTTTTCTCATTTTCAAAAATTTTACTATACACGAATGCTAGATTTCTGAATAATTACAAAATTTTAAAACAATTTTTATATAATAAAAGTGATACAAATTATTTTTATTTTATTTATTAAGGAGCTTTAGAAGTTTCTGTTTCGTTAAGAAAATGTAATGTTATTATTTTTTTAAATAATCGTGAAGTATTTGTTATCTAATTCAAAATTGTTGAAACTTTTGATACATTATCTTTAGAGATTTCTCCTTCAACCACCTTTTTCAAAAGCTCTTCATGCATTTCATTAGCATTCATTTTCAATCGAGAATTGGCTATACTAGTGTGAAACATAACATTGAGTAAGTTTTTAACATTTTCTATCATCTGTTTTATTGGTTTTTTTTGATTATTTTTTAAATTTTCTTGTAAGGCTCATTTACAACAAAATGTAGTGATACTAGCAAAAATGAAAGCATATTATATTTTTTCAATTATTAAAATACAAATATTAAAATTAAAATTTTTAATTTTACCTTTTTGATGATGAATCAATATTAATTGTTTCTGATAGATCAATAAAAAAAGAATCTTTAGAATGCCTTATATCCTTTTATATATTAAAATTTAAATAATATTTTTGTTTTTCAATAAATATTAATTATATTTACCTTAGAGATTTGTTCATTACGATTATTATTTACATTTTTTATATAATATAATAATATTAGATTGATACTATAATTTATATTAAATTTGATTAAATATTGCTTCCTTCTTTTGATACTAATGGTATTTTTCAGGATTTTGAAGAATTTGTATGTGTTGTAGAATTTGGTGTTAGTTTTTCAAAGGTATGTGTTTTGATAATTTTATCAATTTGATTAGGCAAAAATTTATTCTACTTTCCAAATTCTGATAATACTCGAATGCATATATATCTAGCATTCTCACCAGTTTCAGGCCAAATGAACTCATGCCAATTTGATATTCTACTTATTATTCCTAACTTTTCTTTTTCTATTCAATAAATGCAAATTTCAAATTATTTTCTAAAAAAAAAAAATAAATAAAATAAAATTTACCTTTATTATGATTTAGCTCAAGATGTGATACATGGATACCCACAATATCTTTGATAGCATTTTCAATATCTTTACCTTGTTTTACGTTATAGTCTATTTTTATCCATCTTTTTATTGCATGTGTAATTTAAAGCAAATATTAATGATATAATATAAAATTAATAATTAATCAATAAATATATTGTAAAAGTAAATAATAATTTTATACCTACGTATGATGAGAATTTATTGCAGTTTTTGCTTCTTCTGCTTCTAAAAATAACCATCTATGAGGACTAATATCATACAATTCCTTTCAATAACTCATAATAATCATTAGTTTCGTATTTTAATAATGTTTACCATTATTTAAAATTATAGTAATCCATTTTAGCTTTCGTTCTAAACTTTCTATAACTATATGTAAAGATGATGTAGTAAACCATGAATCCTGATGAGTATCTTCAGATCAATGATCAAAAGCTTAATATCAAGCTTATTGTTTTCTACATTTTTAGTATACACAAAAACTGAATAGAGACTCCATTCTTGTTTGCCAAACCATTTATTTTTAGTTTTACAAGCTTTTTTTAGCAGAATTTTCATCTTATAATCCACTATAATTATAGTTCTGTCTAAATCAAGTTTAGCAAATTAAGCATCAAACTGTGTATTAAGATATGTTTTGCGAGCATGATATACCATAAAAGCTATCAACTGATTTTAATAAATTGGTAATTTTTCTTGTTACTTTTCTTCAAGGTTCATTTGTAAAGTATTAAAAAATAAAAAAAAAGATTCACAATTACTACAAGTATCTGAATGATCCAAATGATATTCTTCAAATGCATAAGGTAAGTAATGATTGATATACATATTATGTTTTGCATATCCTATTGAGTTAATATTCAATCCTTTTACAAAGTCTTTACGTAAATAACATCTTAAAATTCATGCTTAATTTATTAATTCCTTCTATTATACAGATTTCAATTAAAAAAATAATAATAATCCAAATTATTTTATAATAAAAGTAAAATCATATATGTGTTTGTATATTAGCAACATTGTTTTCTATCAAATTCTCAAGATTCATAAAAATCTCATATCCACACTCATTACAGGTTGAATATAAGCCTCCTAGATCATTTTTATATTGATATCATTTTCCTTGAAGATGTGTCATAAATGTAGTCTGATGTATATCATTAGAAAATAATTCAGAAAATTTCTTCTATAAAGAGACTTTTGTATCTTAGAAATATAAAACAGGTAAGCCACTTTATTATCTGTCTTAAAACTACTCATATTTACATTTTCTTTGCTTGAAAAAAAAAGTTCAAATTGGTCTAATGATTCTTCTGATAATTTGATTTAATAGATAATAGGTTTAGATAATGATAGTTCACCATAACTATTCAATTGTGCATGTTTACAGGCTTCAAAAATAGTGTATGTACTAACCTTTATTCAAAAATATTTGATTTAGTATTTTTAATATTAGTATTAGAATTGAAATTAATATTTATTTTAATATAAACTTACTTTTAGTTCTGATTTTAATTCAGAATATGTAAAATCATCTACAAGTATTGATAATATGCATCACTTACCATCTGGAGTTTTTTATTTATTTCTAATGTACGTCTAAAGTAATCCCAAAAGATTATAGACTGATTGTGAATATAGTAAGGTTCAGATTGAAGAAATCCTGTTTTATATAACATATATAATATGTCCATTTCCTTTTCACAATTGATTGATCATATCCAAAATTACCACTTGTTTAAAAAATTATATTATATGGTAACAAATAAAATAAAATAAATATAAGTACATGTATTTGAAATTTTTTATTATAAAATATTATATAAAAAAAAAATACATCATCTACAAAGATAACTCTGAAATTTTATCTATACTATTTAAATAATAAATAAAATACAAATTTAAAACTACTTCTTTCTAATATTATTCAAATCCTATTATAAAAACTTACTAAAGATTCATTAAATGACCAAGGCGTTATATCATGATAACCTGCAACATATAATATCACTCTCCATGCTCTTAATTCTTGATCAATAAGCTGATGTTACTTTGGATAAAGTTTTCAAGTTCAGAATTAAGTTCAATTATCGGATTATTACTTTTAGTCCAAGATTCAAAGAAATGATACTATTTTATATTAGTAAAGGTTCAGCATTTAAGATTATAGTCATATACGGGATTTAACGAAGAAAAGATATACCAGTTTTTTGAAGAATATGTAGGTTTTAAATTTTTTTGAATTAAATCTTGAGTAAATAGGTTTTCAAGGCCAAAAAGTTGGATTCCTTTGTGTTTTTTATAGATTTTGAAAGGTTCTAGATTTTATTTGAAGAGTCAGCTATAAATCAGTTTTGAAGTTTGTGATTTTAATAAATTTCGAGTATATATTTTCCATTTTTAATTGTAGAAACAAATACCGCTGGTTTATCAAAGTATTTATTATTGAGTGAAGCTTTATATCCTAATCCACTATTGTTCCAATCCTTATATAATGAAGAACCAATTCCATAAACAAAACTAGATATTTTTTAACAAAAAAAGAAAAAAGAAGAAAAGGAATATTTTGGGATAATTGAGAAATTATATTTTCATCATTCTATCTAGTAGTACCAGCCGTTAAAATTAGAGTCGACGGCTAAGTCAATTCTACAAAAAATCATTTAGAGTCAACTTCAGAATTTTCGATAACTGAGTCATGACTGAATCGCTATTCCAAATTTGATATAAGGTTCAGAATATTGTGAAATTTTTAATTAAATAAAAACTTCAAATTTTTAGTCAAATAGGATTCATGCCAAGATGAAACTTATAATTACTATTTTTTTGCAACATTAATTAAATTTTAAAAATTTTTGATAAAAATATTAAGATATTAATAATACAATTATGATTGCTAATTTTAATCGACTCAGTCGAATAGCTGAGTCGATTGAAAGTCTTTAATGGCTGACTGAGTCAATTTCAGAATTTGTCACGACTGGTACTATTAGTTCCATCTTATTACAAGTAGACCAGAAAAGTGGGTTTGTTTTTGAAATATACTAGCATATAAATTTGTAATGCAATAGAAAAATTATTTTCTATTTAACTTGAAAAAGTACCTAAGATACAAATATAACTAGAAACAAAAGGATTATCAAAATTTCCTATTACAATAGTAATATAAAAGTCTCTATCATTAAGAATAACTTTCGTAGTTTGGCTAATTCGAATAGAAAAGTAATTTGAGATTTCTTCATTATTGCTTTTTTACCACCAAAGATAAGAATATAGTCTATAGTATAAATCTGGTATTAGGGAACCTATTACCAACAAAGAAATAACAACTTCATGAGTCTTAAGTATTTAAATAGAATAATAACATTGAGATTCAAAAGTAGTATTAATTTTTATAAGCCACTTATCCTCAATCGTTATAATAAAAAATCATATGTAATACTACAGATCATATGTAAATCAGCAATTAAGTCGATTGTATCAAATATATAGCTAAAATATTACTGATTTTTATTAACTAAGTCGAATTTTGTTTGTTTTATTAGTTAAATGAATTTATGTTGATTGTATCAAATATATAGCCAAAATATTACTAATTTTTTATTAACTAGGTCAAATTTTATTTGTTTTATTAGCTAAACGAATTTAAGCTGATTGTATCAAATATATAGTTAAAATATTACTGATTTTTTATTAACTAAGTTGAATTTTATATGTTTTATTAGTTAAATAAATTTAAGCTGATTGTATCAAACATATCAAACAACTACTAATTGTTAATGTCAAATGTTTTTTTTATGTAACACCTGAATTGGACAATTTCAGCTATAACTAAAAATGTCAATTATTTTGACAACAATCAGCAGAAATTAGATTATATTTTGGCTAATATTTAGCACTTTAAAAAAGTGACTAAAATGGATTATTTTGACTAGTGTCTGTCTTATTGTTCAATAATTAGTATACAATAATAGCGTTTTATTACAAAATTTTTTACTTAACTTGATACAACAAGCAATTAATACAGAAAACCTTCTCATAACTGATCTTAGACCTTTACTAATCAATGAAATTTGGGATATTTCACCTCACAAATCACAATATACATTTATTGACATAATCAAAGGCATTGTTTCTATTTCTTTGTATAACAAAGTTAACACATTCATCAAATCTTCACACTTCACCAACATAATACTTTTACTTACTTATTACTATACCTATACACAGTGTTGTCATGGGACATTTTTGGGACATGGCCTGGGACATTGGGACTTAATGTGGGACATTTTGGGACATAGTGTGGGACAGTCTCAAAATGTTTGGGACATCGAAAATGTACATCACTGCCTATGATGACATGCGTAACCTTCTAAACTAGAAACTCCAAATAGGAACTTCAAGGAGAAACTAGTCAAAAGCTAAGTATAAAGATGTAGTAATAATTTAAGAAAAATATAATTATATTCTCTACATCTTTTCAAATATATATATATTATAGTTAAAGAACTATTGCATAGCGATTAGGTAATCATTACTCAATTATTACAACAATATTATATAGAAAAGATGAGGA